TTTACATAACACTACATATTTACATATTACTGGGGAGACTGCAGTAAGTACTATTGTTCACAACTACTTCCTTAAATTAACTCAGATTTTTGCTGTAAATAATTGTGTACCTGAAAACGTATTTTAAATAGCCTTTGATAATGAGGCAATTGGAAACTTTACAAAAACATTGCTTCACTTTTTTTAAAAGCAAAATTCAGTAACAATTAAAAACATTTACAAATGCCAAGAAATAGGAGGATAAAAGAAATAGGAATGTTACTTTAAACATGCAGAAATTAAGCTACATAAAATGTACACTGTACTTTCAGAATATAGTGAGTCACTGATGATATTAAGCTTGGAAAACCTTGATATCATGTAATATGGTATGCTACCATTACACTGTCAAGAAGAGTTCCACCCTGATAGTAGTCTATTCCTCTTTCAACTGCAATCCTTCTCATGTGGTCAAAGTCTCTGAGGACCCAGATCCCTTTCTTAATACACAGAACTCTTTTTTTCCCAGGCCAGCAGCACTGACATCTCATCTAATCTGTATTAGCGGCCCTCTTCCTTGGACCTTGTTTGAGAGGGCAGTTGCTAAGACAGAGTTTGGGGAAATTTTATGCTGAATGCTAAAGTATCCACATATGTATACTCAAACACCTCATAGCTTGGGATAAACCACTGGTGGGAAGAGAATGAGAAAAATGGAGCTTGGAGGTTGATTTTCCCATGCAGAAAATATTTTAATTTTGTTATTTTGATTACACTTTACTCAAGTAGCTTTGTGCCCTCTACTTAAACTTTTCCTTCAAACCCCAGAAACATTGGGGATAGAGTTGCTACAACAACTGGAAACTAGGGATACCTATTCCATATTGACAGTTAAATTCCATTATTCATGTGAAACACAAACACAGTTTATATTATGGGTCAAATGTACATATATAAATCCTATATACTTCAGGGAAACTTTGTGTATGCATTTAACACTATTGCCCTGATTATCAATTTATTTGTGCATTTAAAAAGCTTCATACCCAAATGGTTGCCAGGGTCAGGGTTGGAAAATGGGTCCCATTATTAAAGAGTAACATGAGGGAGTTTTGTGTGTGTGTGTGTGTGTGTGTGTGTGTGTGTGTGTGTGAGATAGAATCCTTAGTCCTTTGGAATTCTAATAGAATTATAGATCTTTTTGGTTCTGTATTCTGATCATGTTGATGTTACTGAAATTTACACATGATAAAATTTCATAGTGTGTACCCACATAGGTGCGTGTGCACATACACACACACCCCACATACACAATGAATGTAAAAACTGGTAAAACCTATAGAAGGTCTGTATCTGAGTTAGAAGTATAGTTGGTTGTTGCTGTGGTTAGTGGATGTCAATTTGATTTGATTCAAAGCATGAAGACCACATGTGTTAGCAATATCATGTTTCTCAGAACATACTAAGTTTATGTAAGGTATGATCTTAAAAGAAGCATGATGTATTACTTACCTAGTGCTGCTATAAAAGAAATACCATAAGTGAGTGGCTTTAACATGCATAAATTTATCTACAGGCTGTGAAATTCAGGGTGTCAGCTCTATGGGACAACTTTCTGTCTCTGTTGGCTCTTGGGGAGATCCTTATTCCTGGCTTTGGTGATCTGCATGTGGAATGGCATGCATCTTCTCCCATCACTGCTTTAATCTCTTTTATACTTTTATATCTCAAGAGAAAGTGACTTAAAACACACCCTATACTCTTACTATCTCATTAATCTAACAAATAAAACCCATTCCCAAATGAGATTGTAACCAGTTATAGGAGTTAGAATTTATAGCACATATTTTGAAAGGGTACAATTCCACCCTTTGGCTCCCTCCCCCAAAAAACTCATGCCCTTCCCATATTCAAAACACATCCACTTTATCATATCATCCCAAAAGTCTTAAATCAACTCTAAGTACAAAATCTCATCTTCTGAATCATCTCAGTCAAATATGGGTGAGACTTTAGGCATAGTCAATCCTTGGGAAAAAATTCCTCTTGATTTTTTAAACCTGTAAAATCTAGAACACAAGTTATCTGTTTCCAAAGTACAATGGGATACAGGTACAAGTTGACATTTCCATTACAAATGAAAGAAACTGGAAGAAAAGAAGGGATAACGGGCACCAAGCAACTCCAAAACCCAATAGAACAAATTACATTAGCTCTCAAGGCTTGAAAATAATCCTCTGTTCTCCAGAATCATCTGGGCAATGGCCCCACCATTATCTGGGAGTTGGCCATGCTGTATAGATTCTGGGTGGAGGTCCTTTGGCCTAGGGCTTCAGCCCCACCTTCCAACCCCACTTGGATGGCAAGTGTAACATGGCTATTACAGCCCCATTTTCCTAGTCCATCTGAGTGAAGACCTCTAGCTCAAACCCTGGAAGGTCTCATTCTTTAGTCCCTTGACCATGGCTGCTGTGCTTCCTAAACTTTAGGCATGGTCTCATCCTTTTGGTCAAAAGTGAATGGCAGCCCCACACTGCAGAACCAAGTTGGTGAAGATCTGACTTTGAAATCTAGGAGGCTATGGTTTCACCGTTTGAAACTGAGGCAGCCTTGCTTCCTGAGCTCCTTCCAACAGTTCTGTTGATCTCCAAACTTCTCCAGGCATGGTCTTCTTTTCTTGGAGGACAACAGATGTAACTCCTTTAGCCTATTTTCTGCCTGTAGATGTCCAAGAAACAGACAGCTTTCTCTCCTTTTATCCTTTCTCCCCTTCAGTCTAAGCTGATAGATTTTCTGCTGTGAGAGTTCGTTAGATCCGTGAGTCACAGGCTTAGCTCTTTAACAAAAGATTTGTATAGTCACATCCTTGATGAAAATTCTAGGACATATGTCCTTTATTTGTACAGCAGAATTTTCCAAATCTTTAAGTTCTGGTTTCATTTTGCATAATTTCTTTTTCCTTTTTTTTTTTTCTGTGATTTGTGTGAATGTTTACAGAGAGCAAATTGGTTTTCTATTCAACAATTCATACACATTTTGTTTTGTGACACTGATTGCAAAGTCCACAATGAAACAGCATTCTTCCCACTTCCTCCTTGTGTTTACCATTTCCTTCCATCCTTCCTTCCTATTGTTTCTTGCCTTCTGAGCTTTATCTCTGGGCAAATCCTGCCTTTTTCATCTTGTATGGCTGATTGCTCTAATAAGTGCATACTTCCCTCATGTTATTTTTCACCTTACAGGCCTCTCTAGTGTTTGAGAGACTGAAAGTTGAGCCACCAGGTTGATACATAGTTCATTTTAAGTCCATCACTTTCTTCTAGCATTTTACTAAAGCTATCAAGGAGGAACCATGTGGCCCCTTGAAGATCTTGTTTAGAAATCTCCTCAACCAAGTGTCTAGGTTTATCACTTATAAGTTCTAACTTCCACCAAACATTTTAATATAATTCAGACACGTTCTCTTGCACAAAAGTATCATCTTCCCTCCAATGTTCAATCACATGTTCATCATATTTCTTTGTAAAGTCTCAATCTAAGCATAATTATTGTCCACATTTCTAGTAAATTTTATTCAAGATCGAAGCTATCATCATAGCTCTCAGTTCTTTCTGAGCTCTCATCAGAATCATCTTTCATGGCCATAATTCTACCAAAAGTCTCTTCAAGGTAATCTAGGGCTTTATAATAAAGCACACCAAAATTTATCCAGCCTCTACATATTATTCAATTGGAAAATCACTTCCACATTTTAGGTATTTCTTAGAACAGCACCCCTAGTTCTCAGTAACAAATTCTTAGTTATCTCGTGCTGTTGTAATGGAAATATCACAGCTGAGTGGCTTTAACACACATAAATGTATTCTCTAAGTTTAGAAGGCTAAAAGTTCTAATTCAGGATGCAAGCTCTGGGGGAAAGCTTTCTTTGTTGCCTCTGTGGGAAGGTCCTTAGTCCTTTGCTCAGTGATCTTCATATGGCATGGTTTCTATCTTCTGCCATCTCTGCCTATTCACTTAATTTAATTTCTTTTATATATCAAAAAAGATTGATTTAAGACACCCCAGAAAGTAGTAATACTATCTCATTAACAAAGAAAAAGATAACTAATTCTCAAATGGTATTATAACCGCAGGTATAGGCTTACAACATATTTTTTAGAGGGACACAATTCAATCCTTAACACTTGTAAAGGGTACAAAAAATTTCTCCGTAATATTTTTGCAACTCCTTGTGAGTCAAACTATTTCCAAAAGGAAAAAAAAAATTAAGCTTCATATTCCATATATATATATATGTGTGTGTGTGTATATATATATATATATATATATATATAAATTACTATTTGTATTGTTTTAAAAAGATAATTATGGCATCAAATCTGAAACACAACTTCTAATATTATCTTATTTCCAAAGGAAATTTTAAAATATATATATTTTTAACTTAACAGATTTCTGACTTAATGTACTTTGAATTTTACAAATAACTTTACAAATTCAAACATTCTGTAAATTATATGCCACTAGTAATCACTTCTTATCAAAAGCTGTCCTGTATTTGTTAGAGTCTATAGGTTTTTACCCTATCATTTCTTTAAAGTAAAATAAGGCCAGTTTGTGGATGAAGGTTACTGAACATTGAGAATGTTAGATCTTTCTTCAGTATGAATTCTCTGAATTTTTAGTGGGGGATTACCTCTGGCTTAACAGTTCATTCATAAGATTTTTCTCCTGTGTGAGTTCTTTGATGTACAATGAGGTTTGACTTCTGAGAGAAAGTTTTTCCACATGTGTTACATTCATATGGTTTTTCTCCTGTGTGTGATCTCTGATGTTTAGCAAGGTCTGACTTACGGTAGAAGATTTTACCACATTCATTACATTGACAGGATTTCTCTCCTGTGTGAGCTCTCTGATGTACTGTAAGGGATGACTTGTGACTAAAGGATTTTCCACATTCATTACATTCATATGGTTTCTCCCCTGTGTGCTTTCTCTGATGTAAAATAAGCCCCGAGTTCACACAAAAAGATTTTCCACATTCACTACATTTATAGGGTTTTTCTTTTATATGAGTTCGCTGATGTACAATTAGAGCTGACTTATGGCAGAAAGCTTTCCCACATTCATTACATTTATAGGGTTTCTCCCCTATGTGAATTCTCTGATGCTGAGTGAGCTGTGACTTCTGGCAGAAGGTTTTTCCACATTCATTGCATTCATAGGGTTTCTCCCCTGTATGTGTTCGATTGTGTTTTGTTAGGTATGATTTATTGTAAAATATTTTTCCACACTCATTGCATTCATAGGGTTTGTCCCCTGTGTGTGTCCTATAATGTTGGGAGAGAGTTGACTTATGGCTGAAGAATTTCCCACATTCAGGACATGCAAAGGGTTTTTCCCCTGTGTGTATTCGCTTATGTACTGTGAGGTCTGATTTCAAGCAAAATGTTTTCCCACATTCATAACATTCATAAGGTTTCAACCCAGTATGGATAATCTGATGTCTGGTAAGTACTGACTTGTGGTAGAAAGTTTTTCCACAATCATTACATTCATAGGGCTTATCCCCTATGTGAGTTCTCTGATGCTGTGTAAGATGTGACTTCTGACAGAAAGATTTCCCACATTTAGGACATTCAAAGGGTTTTTCACCTGTGTGAATTCTCTGGTGTACTAAGAGATGTGAATTCATACAGAAGGATTTCCCACATTCATAACATTCATAGGGTTTTAACCCTGTGTGTGTTCTCTGATGTTTAGTGAGGTCTGACTTCTGGTAAAAAGTTTTTCCACATGTACTACATTGATAGGGTTTTTCCCCTGTATGCGTTCTCAGGTGTAATGTGAGGGCTGATTTGTGGCTAAAAGCTTTCTCACATTCACTGCATTCATAAGGTTTCTCCCCTGTGTGTGATCTCTGATGTTTAGTGAGGTTTGACTTCTCCCAGAAAGTTTTTCCACATTTATTACATTCAAAGTGTTTCTCTCCTGTGTGTATTCTCTGATGTCGAGTGAGATGTGACTTTTCCCAGAAAGCTTTCCCACATTCATTACATTGAAAGTGTTTCTCTTTTTTATGAGTCTTAAATTGTGAGATGTATAAATTGTTCCTGAAATTATTCCCATTTTCATTATATTCATGGGATTTCATATGTATTCCATGATGATTCAAGAGGGCTGGATTTACACATAAGGATTTCCCAGAATTAGTATATTCACAGTGCTTCTCTCTTGAGGGATCTATCTGATGGAACAAGAGGGATGAGTTATCATAGATAGTTCTTCCACATTCGTTATATTCACTGTCATTGCCTTCTGTGTTTTCTCTCTCATATGTATTAAATACTACCTTTTCAGGGAGGACATCCTCACAAACCTTATATTCAAAATTTTGTTCAAAAGTTTGAGTCTTCTCATGCTGAAAAGAGTCCTCATTAGGAATGAGGGTTTTACCAGTTTGAAAATTTTCACTTTTCTTCCCATTATGAGTTTTCTCATGCTTAATATCAATTAGTAATTTTCCATAGGCATTAAATCCATCAGGCTTTTTTCCTAAATAGTTTTTCTTACTAATTACTAATTCTGAAATACAGTTCAAACTCAGTCCATAAAAGTCATACTGACAGAGTATTTTTCTGGAAGGAAAATAATTTGTGTCCAAGTTAAATGGACTTCCTATTATATTACCCTGTTCCTTAGTCAGTGTTTTGTTATTGATGAATACAACTTGCCACAAATGTTTATCTTGGTTTTCTTGGTTTCTCTCTGTCAGATTATCAGCTTTCCAGACTTCTAGAAATAAGAAAAAGAAATCTTACCATATAAATATTAACATATTTCTTATGGAATGGGATCTCTATACAAATACCCTGTGTTGTGTCAGACTCTCTGGTTTCTTGTTCAGTCTTTAGAAATGGAAATATTCCCAAGTACATATTTTTCTTATTTATTTGGTTAGGCAAAATAGAAACAAGTGACCTGGCATAGAGAGAAAAGGGAGAGGAAACTGGCTACTGGACCACATACATTTGGTTTCCAACTATATTTAGGCAAATGCCTAAATCTGCATCTCTCCATGCATCCTCTGAAAAATTATAAAGGTAAATATAAAGAGAGTAAATAAATTTCCCTGCAGCAACTCATATTAGAATTACCTAGGAGTTACATCCATAACTTTAACTTAGGTAGGAAAGGGAGAATACCAATAAGTTTAAATCACAACTACATAAGGAAATAAATATTCAAATATACAAGAAACAGTTTTAGAGCCCATGTGTATGGAGAGTCTGATGAAGATCATGGTGGCCAATTAGAAAAGAGGAGAGGAACACAGAGAGTCTAGAAATGATGAAACACAAATAAAACCACTTCCAGAAAGAGAAAGTCCCACTATGAATGGGAAAATACTAACAATCCTGTCAGCTCTGACAGATCAGAGCTCAGGTTTCTGGGAAATCAAAAAGTAGGGAGATGTAGTCTGGGAAATAGAAAAGGGCTGACCAAAGTCAAGAAAGAAATTACAGAAAATGTCAAAATGACATTAGAAAACAGGAATTAAACTACAAGATTACAAGGAGAAAATAGACTTGACTGAAATTGTATTAAGCAATATTGGGAAAAGGCATGAGTAAAGACAAAACAGCAACAACAAAAAAACACCAAATAAAGAAAAAAATTGGATCAGAAAGTTGTGGATAGTGAGGACTGTCAAGAAGAAAAAACACTTGTATATAACTGGAGTTCTTTAAGAGGATAAACAAAACACTGGAATTAATCTAATATTAAAAACAATACTATAATCTAATAAATCTTTCCAGAAATAAAAGAAGCTCTGATTTCCACACATTCAAAGGGATCACAGTGAAGCTGGGAAAACTGACCTGAACAGTCAACTACAAGACCTTAGTAAAAACTATTACACCTGAAACATAAAGAAAATGTCCTCTGGGCAAAAATATTAAATCACACACACACACACACACACACACACACCACACACAAACCCAGAAACATAGTTTTGGCATTAGGTTTTGACAGCAACATATAAAGCAAAGGTCAGTTGAACAAGTTTCTAAAAATTCAAATAGGAGTCAAAGGTTTTATCCAGCCCCATTATCCTTTGAGTATCAAGCCTATAGAACAAGTTAACAGTTTAGATGAATAGAGCTCACTGTAATCATGAAACATAGTTTTATTAGACAAGCTTTAAGCAAACACAGTAAACAGGAAACATTCATTAAATGTAACTACATTACAGAATTGAGAGCAAGCATGTGAATAATGCTGAAATAGCAAATGTTTTGGTTATATATATATTCACTACAATAAAAAATTGAGAACAAACATTTAGCAATTTTCATACCAATCCAAAACTAGCTTTAGTGAAGTATAATTGATGAACAGTAAACTTCACATTTGAACTATTTAATTTGGTAAGTTTTGACATAAGTATAAAACTATGAAGCTATCTTGAAAATCAAGATAAGAAATCTATCATTCCTAAAAATTTCCTGGTATCCTTTTGTAATCAGTCTTCCCTGTCACAGTTTCTGCCCCATCACCTCCATCCTCAGACAACCACTGATCTGTTTTAATCATACAAATATTGGCTCACATTTCTGAGAATGTTAAATGGATTCATGATAGTACATATTCTTTTCTGGATTCCTTAATTCACAATTCTTATTCTGAGGTTTATCCATGTAAATGTATGTATCAATAGCTCATTTCATTTTACTGGTGAGTAGAAGTCCATTGCATAGATAAACAAAGTTCGCTTATGTATTCATCTGTTGATAGACATCTGAAGTGTCTCCAGTTTTCAGTTATTATGAATAATAATTCCACTATGAAAATTCATGTATACATCTTTGTTCCTATTACTAGAATGGCTGGGTCATATGGTACATGTGCAGTTTATTTCTTAAAAAACTACAAAACTGTTCTCTAAAATGAGTGTACAATTTACATTCGTGATAGCTGTGTACACAAGTGTCAGCTCCTCCATATCTTCATCAGCAGAAGATATGGTCAAGATTTTTTTATTTTAGTCCTTTTAAGAGAAATGTCATTGTGGTTTTGTTTCATCAACCCTAATGACAATGACGTTGAATATATTTTCATGTGATTTATTTTCAATCTATCTTCTGGGGTAAAGTGTGTATTCAAACCTATAATTATTTTTGAGTGGGCTGTTTATTTTCTTTTGAAAATTCTTAAAAATGTATATTGTGTAAAAAACATTAGCAGATACAGGCTTTGCAAATATCTTCTTCCCATCTCTTGCTTGTCTTTTAATTCCCTTAAGGAGTCTCCTTTTGAAAAGGTCAGATGTCACAAGTTAAAAGGACAATGTCCTTCAGACCAGCTGCCCATGCAGCACTTCTTTCTCTGACTATAGCAACCTGGAGAGAGTTCAGATCTTACAAGTTGAAAGTACACTTCCCTTCAGACTGCCAAATAGTCAGATTGACAGTTGCAAATTTGGGAGTCCACACAACAGCCTAACTTCTGATCTCAGTGGCTTCCCTCTGCTTTTACAGGATGCCAGCCACAAGCTCAGGAGTATACCCTACCCTTGGATCTGCTGGCTCCCACTACCCCTTTGGGTTTAATAATTCATTGGAATGACAGAAGTCATGGAAAGTGAAATTATAGCTTTATTATAGGATAAAAAAAGGGGTACAAACAGAGAGGATGAAGTCTGGGAGGGTTCCCAACATGAAGCTTTCATGTACCCTCTGTTCTGCATAGTTTTCTTTCACTAACTAGGCAGCCCATGAAGCTTCCATGTCCAGAGCTGTTATTGGGAGTTTCATTAGGTAATGCAAATTCAAGCCTTTCTCCCTGAAATTAGTCAGTATCATAAGGTAATCATGAGCTATTTCACTCAGTGGGTCTTTTTGGACTGGCCATCCCACACCCCAAAGTGACTTCACTGGCATAATCTATTACTTAGGGATGGTGTTTTAGATATCATCTTTTAGGAATGGATGGCAAAGCCAAATTATTGGGTAAGGTTAAATGGTAAACCCCACAATATTCAAACTGAATTTAAGGGTGACCACAATAAATACATAACTTTCAGGACTGGTGTTTGTGGTAGTTAAGGTTGTGCATCAACTTGACCTGTTTTGAGTAGCTGGGCAGCTGGATGAAGTAAAAGAGCTTAACAGAAGATTTCAAAGGGTAGCTTGAGAAGACAAAGTAAAGTATTATAACGAAATGTGCAAAGACCTGGAGTTAGAGAATCAAACGGGAAAAACATGCTCAGCATTTCTCAAGCTGAAAGAACTAAAGTAAAAATTCAAGCCTTGAGTTGCAATACTGAAAGATTCTATGGGCAAAATATTGAATCATGCAGGAAACATCCAAAGAAGATGGAAGGAATACACAGAGTCACTGTACCAAAAAGAATTGGTTGATGTTCATCCATTTCAGGAGATGGCATATGACCAAGAACCAATGGTACTGAAAGAAGTTGAAGCTGCACTAAAGGAATTGGAACAAGCCTCCAGGAATTTACAGAATACCCATTGAGATGTTTCAACAAATGGATGTAGTACTGGAGGCACTCACTCATCTATGCCAAGAAATTTGGAAGACAGCTACCTGGCCAACTGACTGAAGAGATCCAAATTTGTACACATTCCAAGAAAGGTGATCCCACAAAATATGGAAATTATTGAACAATATACGTAAGTAAAATCTTCCTGAAAATAATTCAAAAACAGTCACAGCAGTATACTGACAGAGAACTTCCAGAAATGCAAGCTGGATTCAGAAGAGGACATGGAACAAGGGATATCATTACTGATTTCAGATGGATCTTGGCTGAAAGCCAAGAATACCAGACAGATGTTCACTTGTGTTTTATTAACTATGCAAAAGTGTTCAATTGTGGATCATAACAAATTATGGATAATATTGAGAAGAATGGGGATTCCAGAACATTTAATTGTGCTCATGAGGAACCTCTACATACACCAGGAGGCTGTTCAAATGGAACAAGGGGATACTGCATGGTTTAAAATTAAGAAGGGAGTGTGTCCTGGTTGTATCCTTTCACAATACTTATTCAGTCTGTATGCTGAGCAAATAATCCGATAAGCTGGACTATATGAAGAAGAGCATGGCATCAGGATTGGAGGAAGACTTATTAACAACTTGTGACATACAGATGACACAACTTTGCTTGCTGAAAGTGAGAATGACTTGAAACACTTACTGATAGAGAATAAAGACTACACTCTGCAGTATGGATTACACCTCAACATAAAGAAAAAGAAAATCCTTGCAACTGGACCAATAAGCAACATCACGATAAATAGAGAAAAGATGGAAGTTGTCAAAGATTTTGTATTACTTGTTTCCACAATAAGCACCAATGCAAGAAGCAATCAAGACATCAAACAAAATATTATACTGGGCAAATCTGCTGCAAAAGACCTCTTTAAAGTGCTGAAGAGCAAAGTTATCTCTGAATACTAAGGTGTGCCTAACCCAAGCCATGGTATTTTCGATAGCCTCATATGCATGTGAGAGCTTGATAATGAATAAGACAGACCGAAAAAGAGTTTATGCTGTTGAGTTGTGTTGGAAAAGAATACTTAAAGTACCAAAGACTGCCAAAAAACTAACAAATATGTCCTGGAAGAAATGCCTCTGGAATCGTCCTTGGAAGCAAGAATGGCCAGACTTGGTCTCACCTACTTTGGTCATGTTGTCAGAAGGGACCATTTTCTGCAGAAGGATATTATGCTTGGTAAAGTGGAGGGTCAACGAGAAAGGAG